GGGTTGTGTGTTTGTGGTTGTGTGTTTGTGGTTGTGGTTGTGGTTGTTTGTTGGTGGTTGTGTGTTTGCGGTTGTGTGTTTGTGGTTGTGTCTCTGTGATTGTTTGTTTGTGGTTGCGTTTTTGTGGTTGTGTGTTTGTGGTTGTGTGTTTGTGGTTGTGTCTCTGTGATTGTTTGTTTGTGGTTGCGTTTTTGTGGTTGAGTGTTTGTGGTTGTGTGTTTGTGGTTGTGTGTTTGTGGTTGCGTTTTTGTGGTTGTGTGTTTGTGGTTGTGTGTTTGTGATTGTGTGTTTCTGGTTGTGTGTTTGTGGTTGTGTTTTTTCTGTTTGTAATTGTGTGTTGAGGTCCGGCGGGGAACACTGGGCGCAGATGGTCGTGGTTGAGGTCCGGCGGGGAACACTGGGCGAGGTCCGGCGGGGAACACTGGCGTGGATGGTCGTGGTTGAGGTCCGGCAGGGAACACTGGGCGTGGATGGTCGTGGTTGAGGTCCGGCGGAGGACGACGAGGAGGAGAAGGAGAAGGAGAAGGAGGCGGAGGAGGAGATGGGGCTGACATAAATCTAACAACCCTCACCTGACAGGTGGGGAAAAAAGGACTCCAGTGCAACTCAAGTAACTCCAAAAATGAGCTATTTGTTGGTGACTTGTGTTTTTGAAGCATCAGCACTCATATATCAACTAACAGTTTCTTGGCTTCTGAGCGATCCGCTGAGCGATCCGGCCTGGAGTCCCTCGGACCGCCGCCATCGCCATCCAGGCGACGAACCCCTTCTTGCGGTGGGATGTGCCTGCGGTGCAACAGGCGGATCCGCCGGTCCTGAAATGGGTACTGGTTGGAAGACGTTGTTAGAGATGTAGGATGTATATGCAGATGTGTATGCAGATATAGAGGATGCATGTGTCACATTGGTGGTGGAACCCCCCTCATTTGGACGCTGATCAGTCAGTGTTGCAGATGAATTGGCTGGTGTTACCCATAATTAGAGTGATTCAGTGTTTCAAGGTCCAATGATTACGCCCTTGAAGACGGTTGTACAGGATACAACGTTTCCACCTTTTTCATGTGTCTCAGAGGAGTCGATCCCAACAACGCCTAGTATGGTTGACCGGAAATCAAGCTGGAGAAATGATGCTCATTCACCCCACAAGCATTTCTGACTTGACTGCTTTCACCAAACTGCACACCGGTCTACCCTGATGGCCGCTAACTCGACCGGATCCGTGATCCGCTGTATCCACCCGAGTCAGCGTGCACCATGAGATTCAGCGCGCACAGCACGTCTGGCACCCACTCCCCCAGTCCCAGTGGGAGCCTCTCACGTGTTGGGCCGTGCGAGTGAGCATAACCAGCGGCCGAACTCTTGGAGGAGTCGAACAAACCATGGTCCCGGTGTGCGATATTGACTCTATTGAGTATCCATTGAGTCATGATAAAAGGTTGCAACCTGTTATTTTTTCCCCTGAAGCATCCTTTGTAACACTTATTTCTGTTGAGTCCTCTTTTCTGCTACGACGGAGGGTTCAGGCCCCTTCCCAATGTGTTTTTTTTCTTCCATGGTTAAACAGTCTCATCCGTCCATGTTTCATCTTTCCACGTGCTCCTCAGGCCGCAGGTGGCCTGGCGGACGCCGCGCAGGTCTTCACGGCCATCCGCCGTTGGAAGGAGCGACCGTCCGACGAGTCGAAGAGGGGCAGTTCGAGCGGCGGTTCGAGCTCATTGTACAACATGTGATATGATGTGATATATGAAATAATCTGGATATAGATAGATATTTAGATATTAGTTGTTGTTTGTTTCACAAGTTAGTTAACATAGGTCCAGTGTGGCCTTTTGGGGGTGTGAGTGATATCGGAATGTATTGGATGCGGTGCTTTCAGCTCAGGTTGTTGGATCAACTCAGGTTGTGATTTTGTGGCAGATGTTTTTTTTGCAGGCTATGGAAGCTGACAACGTGAAACGTGTGCATTGATCTCTTGACTTGTTTCCAGGAATTCTTCCCATGTGGAGAAAGAAAACGAAAACGCGGCAGCCGAGGTGAGCCTCGAACCATGAAAAGGTTTTGTGGGTTTTAGGGTGCTCTTCTCAATGAACAGTTTGCAAGTGTGCTTTTTTTATGTGCTGCTGACTCCCTTCAACAAACATGGGCTGCTTGTAGCGAGAAGTGTAGTGTCATGTAGTGACTATCCATGCCATGCCATTAAACAAACCATGTTTGTTTGAGAACGATGCACAACCGGGTAGACCTGACCCGGGGTAGACCGGGCAGACCGACGGTTCTGCTCAGGACACTGGCAATCCTCCAGCCGCCAGACTGTGAGCCACTGCACGTGTCGAAGGTGTCTTAGATCCCAGCTGACTTGCCAGCAGCCAGCCGCTCCAGGATCTTCTAGGAGTGTTTGTAGTTGCAAATGCGTTTAGAATAGTGCATCTATAGACTGGGCGCCTAGTTACATCAACATACATCAACTAATTACTGCATATACATGATTCTAGACTATACAGTGCAGCCTTCTCACTGTGCGTGGGTGTCTCAAAGTTTTTGTGGACTCTCCAAACACACCTGGCAGATTCTTAGTAAAGGGAACGGACACGCATCCTACCCAAAAAAGTGGATAACCTTTAACCTTTACTGTAACCTTTTGGGGGGAATGGGTTTATCGACTAAACAACACCAGGTGGAAGCAGGTTAATCATGTATTTCTCAGGGAAACTGAGGGGTTTTGCCATGTTTTGAAGGCTCAGATTCTGATTGAAACTGACTCCATGGCACATTCTGGACCCATACTAAGCGTTAAAAAACCATGTTGGCGCACTTGTTGAGAGTAGCGTGGAATGAATTGATCAGGTCCAACCCAGGTGAGTGGCTTGTAGCGGCGTCAGCACTTACCTGACTGGAGCAGTAGCTTTCGTCGTCGTTTCCATCGCGGAAGGCAGTGCCCCGTCCTTCATCGACAGCGCAAAAAGACTGGATCTTTTGGCCAAGTCAGCCATGCCAGTGACCTACATCAGTCGTCGAAAATATGTAGACACGCACTGCCCATTCTTTTTGCAAGGAAGCACAGCAACAGACTAGCCCATTGAAGTTCCCTCATTTGGATATACAGGGCAACGGGATCGCTCCATTGGGATCGACCAAACATGTCACCGAAGACGTTGGTTGCCAGGGGGTCGAACACGTCGACGTGCTGGGTGCAGTTTTTTCCGCAGCTTGCTGGGGGGTATATATATAATATATATATGTGTGTGTCTACCCTTGCGCATCCATCCATCCATCCATCCATCCATCCATCCATCCATCCATCCACCTCTCGCCCTCCGCCACTCGCCCGCACAAGCGATCGGCGAGGATTTGGTCAGCTTGACCGAGCTGGAAGTCTTAGTCGAAAAAACTCGATGCCTCAAAGAACGGCCCGGATGCCCGAATCACGTGCCGCGACGTGCACGGCCCGTCGTTGTTGCAGAGGTGTTTATTGTTTATGTTTAGGAATCCATGTGTGGATTCCAGGGTCGAATCCCGAATGAAGATTGGCTGATATAGATTCATTCCTGAAATCACCCCCAAGGCTCAAGGATCCCCAAGGTAGGTAACATGTTGTATTCAGTGGGATTGGTAGATTGGATTAGATTACTGTCAGTGTCACCTGTTGCATTTGTATAGATTTGTACTATGGTCGAGTCGTTGAAGTCGCAAACAGAGTTGAAGGATTTGCTCTTTTTCCTCAACACATTCAATCTGGGAGTGGTCCAGCCTTCATTCAACTTCCAGAACAGCGCCGCTGAAAATTCAGGATGGGCTTTCGGAGATCGACCATCTAGTTTTTTGTACACACCACACTCAGTGCATACTGAGTCTTACATCCCTCCTTCCTATCCCTGTGTTAGCCGCAGCCGATCCATCTTTTCCCCCAACATCACCCTTCTTCAATGTGTGTTTCATTGATGCAGACTGACTGAGAGACCCTCAGGATCCAGATAGCACCTGAAATATCCCCAACCAGCATCTTAGAGTCCGGTCTGGGGCGGTTTCCCAGCGGACCAATGGAAGCCCCTACACTACTTAGGGATCTCCATTAAACACCCCTTTGAAGGTCCAGGTATATCTTATAACATCTCTTAAACATGTAGAATGACGAAATTCTTCCTTTGCCTACAAACAGAGGTCAAATGGTTCTAGGTATATGTATATATATATATATATCTTATAACATGTCTTAAACATCTTAGATAAAAGAAATTCTTCCTGTGCTTGTCTTCCTATGCCGATTACGGTCCCGAGGCACGGTAGACTACACATTGTTTGTTGCAGCGTTGATTCCGATGGACGTGTGCGCCGGAAGCTTCCTGCCACGGCTGGTGGTGGGGGGGGTTGAAGCGACCCTGGTGGGGCGACCGTGGTGCAAATGGGGAGGTTTGCGACCCTGGAAGAGCGGGAATCTGATTCCCGACCCTGGAAGGTTGGAACATGGGTGCTGTTGATTGTCCAATTACTTGAAAGTAGCCTTCTTTGAAGGTAGTAGAAAGTGGATGCTGACGATTTACCAAACAATTACTGGTTTACTAGACCACACCCGTGGCCTGTGGTTAGGAAGAGTGGTGAGTGGTTGCGGAGTTTTGCCGAGTTTCACACGTGTGAATCAACTCTGGCCGCCCTGGCCTTCAGTAGTTGACAGTGGATCCTGGCCTTCATGTTTACCAGGAACGACTGGGCTGTCTGGAACGACGAGTCACGTAGGAACGTTCAAACCTCGCCTCTCAGACCCACTCGAGAGTAAGACGCTGCCATCCGCTGATCTACCTTGTCAGGAAGTCTCAGGTTGCAGCCAAGGGCTTTGTCGCTGGATCTCAGGTACTCGTGGATGTTAGTTTTCTCAGGTTGCAAATCTTGTGCAAATCTTCTCAGGTTGCACAACATCTCTTGTGCAAATGTTCAAGTCTGCCGCAAGCCTATTGATATCATATGAGCCCATTGTTCCCCGCCATTCTGATTGAGTTGAGCTGAACATAGTTTTCCCGCAATGATTTGCAGCATGGCCGTGGCCAACTAGTTTTGTTATTAGTCATTGTTTTGCCAAATAGATTGCAGATGTTGGTACCAAAAACAAAGGGGGGGTTACCCATTGGCCAAATAGTTTTGATTCTGATACATGGTTTGCAACAGGGCCTACCATTTTTGGCCCTGGCTGTTTTGATGGCACCGTGAACCCTGGAGCACTGTTGTTCGCCCATGGGGCGGATTCTGCGTTTGGCTTAGGGTGAGCTAAGCACCCAAGCATAGTGAAACCCTAAGGATCTTCACTTTCCAAGGACACCCAAGGACAATGAAGCTTCCATGTACGACATGCTGAAACATGCTGAAACTCGGCGTTGGCGTTGCCGCCCCAAAGAGTTTCTCCAAACCGACAGTTGGGCTCAAAACAGTTGTACACGGAAATAATATGCCGATGAAAACCTATTGGTCCATACTTACTTGAGTCATTTGCCCTTGAACCAAAGTCAATAATCAGTTGGGAAATAGGATCTCAGCACAGACTAACCTTTGGACATGGCAAACACATTGGCTTGGAAACCGACCAAGTTGAGCTGTCACATGACCACATATAACGTAGGCTCTTAATTTGACTGACATCAACAATCAAACACTATACTTCATCCAAAAACATTCCAGAACAAGTTGACACTCTCAACCAGAACTTTGTAGTTGTCAGTTGTCAGCTCTCTTCTCTATATCAAGAGTCCAGACAGAGCAAATCCACATGCCTGCATTGACATTTGAGCAAGGTTCTTGAATGAATTTCAGGCTTCCCAGCATAGGCAGTGTTGGCATGGCCCTAGCTCGTTGAGCCTTCGAGGAAGGGTGCAGAATGCGTTTTGACTAAGATAATTATTAAGGATAAGTATTTAAGGACATTATTCCTTCCAGGCTGCCGCAGAAGTTCGATTCTTGGCAAAGCTTGTTGCAAGATTCGACTATTAATTTCATTATATATATATATAGATGTGCTTTCGGGCAATTAATGTCAACGCGGAGCAAGTAAATGCAGGGTTATGAAACCATTGAAACCATGACCTTGTGAACAACTGGTTCAGTCCTCAGCAACATCCAAAATAGTCTCCACCGCTATATTGAAGCCGGTAATATTTGCGTGTTGTTTGTCTCCCAGGCGGGTGTCATTAGTTGGATGAGAGGAACGCATGACACCTCGCCAGAGAGCAAACCAGCCTTGGAGCTGTTTTGTTTGTCTCAAAGCTTGCCAACGCCAACGGCAGGTTGAATCCTTGATGGAAAACGCAACGGTAACTAACCTACTTCACTGTTAAAGGTTGAGTGAATGAATCACCCTTTGTGGGCTGGAACATGCAGTTGCTGTGTCACCCATCGGCTACGCAGGATCGTGATGCTGCGCTATGCGAGAAGACACGCATCACGAACAAGGCGTGGCCGGTCGTGGCAGTTGATTGTATGTCATTTTTGGCTGATTTCCCTGGCAGGTGTCCATTCTTTGTGGGTGGTCAACCATTGGTTCTAACCAATAGCCATGTTGAAAAATGGAAGCTCACGGGGGATGACTCAAACTCAGCGCTGTCCTGGTTGTGCTTGACTTAAGTCCGTGTTTGGGAACTCTACTCACTCTACTCAACCTGGGAGACTGGAGGGTGGGAGGAATCTGCAGTTTATGACGAGACCCTCAACCAATTAGTTACCCAGACACTCCATGGGACTGCCATATATGCCTACATTGGGGTGGTTTTGGGGGTCAATGTAGGCATGGCAGTCCCATGGAGTGTCTGGGATAGTTCTAGTTTATGTTTATATACTTTTCTCGGGTCCTTGCGGTGTCACCTTGTTTTTCATTTCATTGAGGGCAAGCAACTGTCCGCCAGCAGAAAGTGTAACCGTTGCAGATCCAATGCAGTTCTGTTCTCACTCACGTTGCCGCCAATCCCTTGTGTACACCCACATGGGTCTCGATGGGTGTGGCTCCAGAAATGCAGACATGGATTGAGAGGACCACAATTCATGCATGTCTTTCTTACGGAGTGGTGCACCACTTTACGTTGGTTTCAGAGCAGATGACACTGGCACTCCAAGGTGTCTTTTACATGGGGGTCCGTAAAGAAAACAAACTTTGGGATTGTGCCATCCACTCTCAACCCACTTTGAGCGGCTTCGAAACTTATTGAGCTTCAGCCAGTGCCTTCTCTGTACAGGTGCCTCCTGCCACCAAGACTACCGTTGGGTGAGCCTCCGTCGCTAGGCTGGTTGATCCATGTTGAGGACTTGAGCTTGAAATGAAGGGAAGAAGAACACAAGAAGAACCTGCCCATGAAGTGTTGCATACAAATCCCAAGTCTTTCAGGGACCCACTTTCTGGAGCAGGATGCTAGATATGTGTGTTGTTTCCATCCAGCGCCATGTGTTTAAACAATACCCAATACCTCTCTCATTTGCCTTCAGTCTTCCAAAACAAGAAGTGCTTCGACTCTATGAGAACAAAACGATACCAAGAACGGTCCGCGCCCCTCCGCGGTGTCCGCTCTCCCGATCGGACGTCCGGTAAGTCCTCCCATCCAGACGGTGCCATGGAGGTGGAAACGTCAACATATATAAGTCACCAGCTACTCGGAATGACCCGCTGGATCAGTGAAAATGCCATCAGGTCACACTCTGACACACTCACATGTGGAACCTAGGCCCCTAAAAAAGACCATTTGGCTCGAGCCGAACAGGTTACTTGACAAGCATGTGTCTATGGAGTCCTCAAGTTGCTTTCCCATCCCAGGAAGCTCCTCTCGGTAGTGCCTGCTGTGCCTGCAGCCTCGAGCCGACACTTCATATCTGCTCGGGGCTCAGGCAGAAGGAATGAGCGGCGCTTCACTGCATGCTGGGGATGTAGAGAACACCTGATATGCATGAAATAGTGCATGAAATGCCTGTTTGGTAGATTAGTAACATTTGTTGTATAGCAAGGGAACACTTTGCCACAAGGTTGCTGACAAATCCTTGGATCAGTGTGTCTGCCCCTTCTTTCTCCAGCTCTCCCTAGGTCTCTCAACAGCTGCGGAATGTGTTGGCCAGCGAGAGGAAGGGACGTTTGGATCGCACGGCTGGCCGTTGGGACGGGTTTCACCGGTTTCTCTCGCGCGGCGGGGAAGAATGGGTGACCGGGTCGTTTGAAGGTTCGTCCTGCTTGCGACTTCTAGCTCGATGGGAGTCTCGGGATACTTTCGGATCATCAAACACCACCGTTCAAGGACTTGGTGCCGAGTGAGCCTGAAGAGAAGAAGAAGAGTGACTGAAAAGGTTTTGTTGAGAGGTGAGGATCTGGCTGACAGGTAATGACTGCCTGGAGGGATGACAAAACCGGATGACTATCAGGTGATTCCTCAATTTGACGCAACACCATTCTGCAGCTGCTATATTCACCATTGGAAGAAGTATGAAGAACTGTTTGTACAAAAATTAGCTCCAGTGCAAAGTTGCAAGACTCAAATTGTCTTCCGGGACAGAAGTTCCAAGATGTGAGGCAATTCAAACTGATATAATTCAGATGTTCCATGATGCCGATGCCCAAGTCTTCTGATGTACCTGATACATCCTTACAATACAATCTATTTACATCTATATGTACTATATTGATATATATATATACACGGTGTGTATGTATATGTATACACACCCCAAAAAAGGGCTCCTCTCCCACCTACGGTACTTAGATCTTCTCAAACACCCCACCCCCCCAGGTCCCGGCTTCACCGCTTCGGCCTTCCATTCGGACCGTGTCCCCAAGGAACCGTGAGCCCCTTGGGCCTTTGCTTTCGATGCCCCCAACCGCAGTCGCCGCTGGATGCGATGACAGGAGATGACGGGAAGCAGATATACCTAGACCATAGCAGGGACCTCATGTATGACGGGATGACATGGTATTAGGAGCAGGTGTATGTACCTCATATGTATATAATATATATAATATACTTATATACATATTTGATGTATATACAGTATATATATATATGTATATCTGAGTACCGTTGTGGAGTGCTTTGGGGGTTCCACATTAGATCGCTGTTTGGCAGGAAACCTCACCGTTTGGTGCAGGATTCGGTCCCAGAGTGTCCACCATACCACTGCCCATGTCATGTTTGCTCCAAACAAGTGCAGTTGTGACGAGATCTGTGGATGGAAGCTCAGAAGCTCTGTGTCATGTCGTCATGTCTGACATGTTGTTGCAAATCTCCTTTGGCCAATTTCAAAGTGTCCTTAGGCTCCCACTAGCTCCGTTTCCAAGGTGGTTGGGGTGGGTGTTGGGGTTCTAACTACCTTTTGAGGCTGTGGTTGGAACCTTAGGGAATATAGTGTTTCTCCAACATCGAGAACGATGATCCCCAGACTTGCCATCAATCCTGTTTGAATCCTCGAATCACCCCAACTGGCAGACTTTGGTTCCTGTCTTTTCTCAAGGCAGATGAACCTTGGTAAATTGTAAAGGTCTTGGAAGGACGCAGTAATGTAGACTTGTTGACCAAATATTGCCCCGTCTCCAGAATGGTTTTGTATCTCCCGGTGGCTGTCGGGCTTTTATTTATCAGCAATCCAACAAGCTGAGCTGAGCACTACATGCCATTACATGCCCTATTAAAAGTCTACCAGCACCCAACTTCACAGGTCACCTGCCACTTTGAAGATTTGTACAATGTGCTGGTACATGTGTGTCTGTAGCTCAAATAGGGAGACCTCCCAGGCCACTGAATTGCTGGAAGCTTCAGAAAATCGACCAAAACGACCCAGGCAGGGCCCAATTGGGTGTCTCCCTATTAAAAGTTCACACCCATGATAACGATATGTCAGGGTCACTGGACCTCCCAAGAAGGGCCGTACTTCGCTCGCTCCCAGGCGTCGCTTTGCGGCCGAGCCGAAGCCACCGACCACGGCCGAGCCCTCGCGGGCCGTGGCCAAGGGCGCGCCGACGCTGCCGTCGCAGATCTTGGTCTACGTGAAGAAGGGCCGCAAGGTGAGTAGATGTGGAAGGGCGGATGATGTGAGGGCAGATGGAGAAGTGAACTATAGTGAACTCATCCCCAACTGTTCAAGACTGTCGTCTTGAATCACTGTATACATTAGCTGTGTTTGGTGTCGTGAGTACTTGACTGAGCAGTCCTGGAAATGAAAGGCGGCTTTAAGGACACAGCTTAGTGTGGGCAGTGGGCACCTTTTGGGCCTTTTTGCGGCTTGGTTTGGGCAGCTTCTTGGGGGCGGGATCCGCGGGAAGTGGTGAGGAGAGAATGAAGCTGCTCCAAAAGAGAGAATGAAGCTGCTCCAATGCATTTCGACAGAGGATGCCCACTTTTCTGTTCAATCCTGGAGTGACCCGGTCGATCTTCCCAAACCGGGTCGAGAGAGGGGGGGGCCTTGAATCGAACGTGCGTACAGAGGCGAACCTTCTAACAGATCTGCGTAGGCATCATGCAATGGTGCATGGTACTGTGCGGAGAATCCCTTCTTTCGTTGCAGATGGTGATGAAGTTGAGCTACCGGACCATGGAAACCTTGCGCTGGTTTGTGCCTTTGGCTGAGATATTGGGATGCACAAAGCTGGCCAAAGGGTTCTTGTGGGGGACCAGGCCCTCGGCCCACCGGCGTTCTCCCCTTTCGGAGCACGTGACACTTGGAGGTACGTTTGACAAGTGAACATTCACTAGGAGTTCAAGTCAGCTGGACTATCCCGTGCTGATGAGGTGTTTATGGTGTTTTTTACAATGCACTTGTGGTGGCAAGTTGACGGGGACCAAGAACAAGCGTTCTCATCTTCAGAACAAGACATGTACAGTTCATTACTGCAGTCCAGCTTCTTCAAAGTGGCCTGAGTCTCTTCGTCCCATCCAGTGACCTTTTCACGTTGCCATAGGTGACCTCGGTCACTGTCACGGTCACGAGTCGCAGCTAGTCCTTGCAGTTCCATGTGGGTGCCGAACGTGGAACCTGGATGGGACAGTCCCATCCATTCCTTTGGAACGCTTTTCCCGCACACGTTGCCATCGCCTGCCGCGGCCAAGGGGCGCAAAGTCCTTGTCCTTTGCAAGGCCTTCGCCGTGGCCTCAGACCAAAACGGAGGTCTGAGACCGCTGCCGACGGATGAAGGCGGAAAGGGAAAAAAGCAGAAGACGAGAAGAATTGGTACCTGAAAATCCCAGTAGGCTGGATTGATTAAAGTGTTTTCTAAATTAAATTGTGTCTGGATGTTTTTTTGCGCGATTGTTAACCGATATCTCTTCAGCTGGGAGTCCTATAGGGTGCCATTTTTGTTGAAACTCCTGTTCCGTTTTGGACTTCACGGGCTGATCAGGTCAAGAACCCCAAGATCATCATCGATTGGGGCGAAGATCTGTATGACATCGCCAAGCACTTCATCAAGCCTTTTGGCCTGCAAGTGCGAGCCGTTCTATGCTCGCGACGGCTCGCATTCCATATTCACCATGAAACAGGGAGCCATTCAGAGCTAGAGGGAGTTCCCCAGCCCCTTGCTAGTAATAGTAGGTACATATAGGTACATTTACTATCATTTACTAGTATACTTGAGTTGTTCAATGAAAATGTGCCACACGATCCGAATCACGATAGGTAGCAGTTCATATCCAGGAAAGGTAGGTGCATTCAGAACGGCGGCATCATGAGAATCATGTTCGGCCCGAGAATCAGTCCTTGAGCTTGCTAGACTCACAGTCTTCACCCCGATGAAGTCAATGGGTGGGAGCGGAGAGCTGGATTTGGATTTGAATACGTCATGATAGCATCAAGAGGTGGATTTGATCCACATGGCGGATAGAGAGAGAGAGAGAGAGCGAGAGCGACCAGATTGATGTAACCCTGGGATTAAAGTCTAAAAAAGCACTCCTGTCAAGATGAGCCATGAGTAAGAACGGCTAGGTTGGTATAGGATTATCTACTGCGACTTAGGGCTTAGAGCCAGAGCCGGTACTTGGACCACAAGACATCGGTACCTGCGAGCATGGAAGACTGAGACACCAGGGGCTGTTTCAGTCTATGGCTTTGTTTGCGTCCTGGGACGTCAACCTTTAATGGCCAAACTGTGGGTCATGGCTTTGATGACACACACAGCTCACAGGGTCCATCAGACGAATTCCAGATGTCTTCTCTTGAAGCAAAGCCAAACACGAAGTCTGTCTCCATTTGTCTCCCATCCACTTCCAAACGATCAAAAGCGCAAGCCCACTCCATCTGTCTCCCACCTCCGACTCCGCCGCCACTCCTTCCACTCCTTCCACTCCGCAGGTGGACGGTCACCGGCTTCAAGCTTTTGGGCGCCGACGTGCGCGCCGCCTACTTCCTCACGAAGCGCGTCTTCAAAGGCCACCGGGACGACGGGACGACCCCGGCCGTCGCGACGGGACGACGTAGCAGACGACACAGCGGACGTTGAGTTGAGTGTTAGCAGACTTAGACTCTCATTGCCAGTAGACTTGTACTGACATTTGTCTGACCTTTTAGTTCATGTCCAGAAGTGATAAAACTTACTGCTTATACTCTCTTACTCTTCCCTGCTTGCGCTGTCCACCCCACTGTTCCCGTGCAAGAGTGCGCAGCTTGGAATCTCTTTCGTTGACTTTCGGAGTTTCCCTTCCATGCGCCAGGCTATCCCTTGTCTGTGCGGGAAAGAAGGCTTTTGGTCAGGACACTGCGCAAGCAATGGGGAGGTGGGGAGGTGTGGAAACCATTGCGGAAATGGTCCAAAGGGGTTTTCCAGACCTGAAGTGGGTGGTTTCGGTGGTGGAGGGGCACTTCCAACCGTCCTGATAGTTATGGAACTGGTGTATCTTTGTCCTTCTTGAGGCCATGCAAACAGGGCACCAGAAGGTGCTTTGGCGGAGCATCCGTTGCAGAGAGAAGCGATCATTTTTGTGTTTTCGACATCGTTTCATCGTGTCATAGGTGGCAAATCGCTCAATGACCCTTGTTTCATCAACTCCATGACTTTTTGTGAGATGCTTAGCATCTCAAGGGCATGAAAGGAATAATATTAATATGGATGTAGTTATTATGGATGTGTACTGCAATTGCGACGAAATTACACCAGGATGCTGCTCTTTTGAACGACATGTTTTTTGTGCCTCACCGGCATCCTCCCCATCGTGACCTGTCCCAGGACCACCAGCGATTGCCTGAAGCTCATCCCATTCGTCTGAACGGCCTGGTTCCATTCGAATGCAGAGATGAACGACCTGGCAGTGATTCCTGTGAGTGTTTCGTTGGTATCCCTGACGTGAGAAACATATATTATCATGGTCATGCATAGTGAGCCATTGGTTTCTGGGAGCTTTGACATGTTTGCAAGGGGCGCTGAGGTTTCATAAGTATCAGTAGGATATCATGTAGTATGTGTGGCAGCTGTGCTTGGTTCCCGCCATGCCAATGCTGCTACATGGTTTCAATAGCTGTTGTTGCGGATGTGTATAACGGTGCTGTTTACATGTGTCACATTGGCCAAGTACAGAGCCCAGAGAAGCATAAAAATTGTCGAGAATTTGTATGAACATGGGTGCCAGTAAAATGGATCGGACTAAGAAGATCTTATATAAGCGTTCAGTGTTTTTCTACAGGACATCGAGCATTCGGAGCACGTCACTCGACATCCTTACTTTTGCGGGTATGTGATAGGTATATTAGTGTCCTACTGTCCTACTTGGAGATTTCGGGCACTCTCCTCAGTGACTGACCTTGCTCGCCAGTCCTTCTTCCTTGTGGTCCCTTTCGCTGACGCTTGGCCTCTCCATTGAGCGCTTGGAAAAGAACAGAACTACACCTACCTCTTTGCTTCGAAGTGACCTTTTTGGAGTCCTACGTTACCTTCTGCAGGTTCCTTCATAACCTCAAAGCAGGATATCAAAGGGTCACTTTCAAGAATCAGGTATAGTCCCACCAGTTCCATGTCAGAATGCCAAACGTGGAGGAAAGGGATGCCCCTGCACATCCACGGCCCCTGGATGGGACTCAATTCCATTCCTTTAGACCTAAGAACCGACATGAACCTACTTCCCCACCCGTTATATAACGACGACCTGTCGATGCATCCGCATCCCTCGCCGTCCTATCCATCCGCCGTATCCTCGCCTCGGGTGCGGGTTGGCAACTGCTGGCAACCTTGAAGCGTGAGCAACTCCGGAGTTTTTTTTCCTCCTTGATTTAAATGCACATATATATATACCATACATTGAGCGTCTGGGTATATAGAATTTTCATGAATTATCTACCAGCACCCGACTTCACAGGTCACCAATTGAAACCTGTTAGGGCCCTTCCCAACCCTCCATGCTGGAGACCTGTTGGAAGGTGCTAGTATACAATTCTATATACCCAGACGCTCTATGGTATATATGAATGCTTACATTGATCCCCCAAACCACCCCAAGTGATCGGCATATTGTATACCGAGTCCCATGGAGTGCTTGGGATACGTATACAGCAACCTCCTTTTGGAGGCTTCATATTAGATCATATTAAATATATTAGTGAAGTGTTCAACTGTAGCCCCGGGCCTGGCGCGGTCCATGCCGCCAAGCCCATCGTTGTTTTCGTGTTCACTCACTTTTTTACATCCCATCTTGCTCGAGCCGCCCAAGCAGATGCTAAGGAGTTTGCGCTGCCCTTTTTCTTGCGCCTCTTTCCCAACATGATGCCCTTCGGACTTGATCCTTTGTGGATGGAGGGGAGAATCCATCAAAGGTCCCAGTTGAGTGAAGAGTTCGTGGGCGGACAGGATATAGGTATAATAGGCCTTGTTCTGAGTTCCGCATGGCCTGGGGAGTTGGGGGACTTTGGACACCCCCCCCACCTGTTAGATACTGGTTACAAAGTACATTTCGTTAGGTGGGTCAATGGGTATCCGTTTGTTCTTTTCAGCACGCGCGACTGATCTGGCCAGATGGGTTTTGCCCAGTTGCACGTCGTATGTACCGGAAAGATGTGAAAACCACGGACTTGACCTGTTTGATCACACCTGTTGCGTAGGGGCATAGGGTGTCATCCAATATGAATGTTCATTTCATTAAAACCGAGTTCTCATTGTTCTCCTGCTCCCCACCGCGAAATGCGCGGTCGAACCAGTCTCAGCCTCAGCCTCCAAGCTGCTAGACTCTAGTTGGATCAAATCCAATGCTGCTACACACTCCCCACATCTCCCCACAGTCTGAGTTGTTTTTAATGAGGTCCACCATCCCTGCCTCCATTTCTTACCCAGGAGTTCGTTCGATCACGGGAAAACCGACCCTATGGGGGGGGGGGAGAAGTGGTATAGTGATGTCACTCGAAACGAGCAGCGACTGAGTTCCTTCAGTTCACTGGATCATCCGACCTTCCATGGGTCGCTAGCGACCACCTAACATGGGTGTGGTTATTTAATTAACCACGTTTCCGTATCATTTTACACGACCCATTGGTTTGGTCGACCGCTCTCGCTAGCAACGGGGAAACACTGTTCCACACATCGATCGAAGCGGCTCCGAGAGTGGTCCTGCGGCGCTGAGCCTTCACGACCGGAGTCGATGGTCCTGTTTTGGGAGCGAAGCCGATCATCAAGTTGTTTACTGTATGTTTTTTTTTTGGTGACAAGTCCGTTTACAAAGCTCCAGTTGGTGGTGGGTTGCTGGCTGATCACAAACTGAAACTGGTTGGTGGTTACATGTCAATTTGGTTTCAGATAGCTTCAACTTCAACCTTTTACTTGAGATGGTCAATCCATTTTGATGAGCATACAGTATACAACATGTTTTTTCTGATTGGCACCAATCAGCAAACCAGTTTGATCCAAAAAACCTTTGAGAAGATTGTAGAGACCCGCCAATGACCTACCCCATTCACAACCACCTTAGAGGGTGGAAGTATGTTGCAGTTGATCTCTTGGTAGCTGCACGTTATGCACATTCTACAAATCCCTTTGGTCACAAAGTTCTTCTACAGGGAAAATCTAAAGCACATAATAATCCATGTTTGTTCTCAAAACAGTAGCTTTTCCATGCATTTCCCATATTAGAAGCTTAAGTTGTTTGTTGTTGTTGTTGTACCTTTTATCAGGCTCCATCCTCGACCAAGCCCATAAAATCAATTACTGTACATGTCTTGGAAATTGTTCTTTGCAAAAACGAGTCAGGGCCGTCAGGGCATACAGATATATAATATATATATATATATCATATATATTATGTACAGATTGTCAACTTTCATGTTTAGCATGCCTAGCTCAGCTCAAATGTTCTTAGCAAAGAACATGTTCAGAGTGCAATTCAAATCTGTCTCCCCTGATGTTTCACATCCACATCCTGTGATGACGATCGTACGGCCGGGTCCTGGAAAACAATTTTGGTCGGATTCATTTGTTGTTTTTTTTTTTTTTTTGTCTTCTATACCGTCCATCCAATCCATGTTTCCATGTTTCCCGCACCTTCGACATGGAAGCACTCTTCCTGTTGAGGCCTTCCACCTTCTTTGCCCCTTGGCGATGATGGTCTCCACCCCTTACCTGTGGCGAGCGTTTGTGCTATTCTTTATTTGGGGTGGGGGGGGGAAAAAAAGGTGTAGCTTGGCAGAAACATGTGTGTCATGTCCTACGTCCTTCTGTGCAACTAGTGCGGTTTGGCCACGGGGCTCTCCTCGCTGGTCGCTTTGTTGTTGGGATTGGATCCTGGATGATCCTGGCATGTTTTTGCTTTGTCCCTCATCACGACTTTAGAGTCAGTTGACAAGTGGGGTTGGCCCAAAAAGAACCTTTGGATACCTTTGGGCATTCTGGATGCCTCTTCGAACGGAACCTCGCCGAAACATACTTGCATAGATTAGATTTGCCTGAGGAGATGGCTAGACTACCAAATATGCAAATCAAGGAGCGTTCGAGGGATTCAGCGTTAGTGAATTGTTCACAGTGATTGATGGGCCCAGTGATTGCGTTAGCTATCACATCTCCACCTTCAACTCGGGAAGCCAGGAGCAGCAGCATGGCACCAGGCGAGGAACAACCTTCTTCGACCTGCTTTGCTCATTTAGATCACAAGAACTCAGTCTGGAGCCAGTGCTGGTAGAGGCAGGCGAACCCAGTCTGGAGCCAGTGCTTGTAGTGGCAACATGTGGCAACCACCCGGTTTACCACTGCGACCACCGCATTTTTCCAACTCTGAGTGGTACACCATAATATATCCCTCTAGGGCTCCAAGTACATCCACAGAAGGTATTTGGACCCTCAAAACCCACCCCGAATACTTTCTCAGAAGGTACTTGGAGCCTGGGGTATACCAACATACCAGTGCCAGTTCCACTTCATGCACCAGGTCTCCAAAATCCGATGATTTGGTCCCACTCCCATCGCTTGCATGGCCGGTGTGGTGTCAACCGGGCGTACACCGTGACTTCCTCGACCTGAGGAGCAGAAGTATGACAACGCCACCCTAGCACGAAAGCTCAAGGCCAAGCAGGACAGGGCTGTTGGACAGACTGGTGGGTTGTTGGAAGATGTTGGCACCCTTGCACTGCGCTCAATCATGGTGAATCGTACAAAGCTCAAGCAATCCCATATAGGATGTTCGAAGCCACAGGGTGCTCAAATCCCTCAGAATAGTCACGGTCAAGTGGCTGAGACGTAGAGCAAATTGCTCTCAAGCCCAAGATCATTCGATCATTCGGAGAAACAGCGCGGGTGGCGCGATCGTCGCAAGGAGATGGCTGACTTCTGGCAACAGGTGGTGGCTCAACGTACCCAAGAGCTCTACGAGGCCATCATCCGCCAGCACGGTGGGTGAAGGGTGGTCAAAGTGTCCCTATGTTTGCCCTTTTTTTTCCGTAAGAAGAAGGCTGAACTTGGGGAACGCACGGCCAAAAGATGTGTAGCAAACACATGTTTGACCAATTGAATATTTACCAGAAGTCGCCGCTTCATGCTGCTCCCTTCGCTGTTGGTCCACTCCGTTTTTTTGTTTTCATAGCGCAAGACCAAGTAAGCGCTAAGCCTGCTAAGCTTTACAATGGATGCCCACAGTACTTGGTAGAACATCTTGCACAGCTTCTGCGGTAGAATGCTGCGTGCTTGTCTCGCAGTCCGATGAGTATGCGGACAAGGCGGAAGAGCTGGTAGCCTTCCAAGAGAAGCTCACGGAAGGCTGGGGGTGGGTCATCCATAACCAACCGCCCCAGCTGGACCAAAGAGTGTCTCCAGTTTGTTTCTGGAAGACCGCCCTGCTTCCGACAGGCAAGTAAGCATTTCGTTTGCATGTTGTTTACTGTTCTTGCAATGTATACTCTATTCACCTACGGCAATTCTTGTGTACGTATTCAATATTCTTTTGTCGAAACCACGCAGATCGACGCTCAGATGTATCGTCCAAGTCATCCCAGTGTGGGGAGGCAAAGAATATCCCACTCTGAAGGAGATCCTCCGGTGGATGCCTCAGAAGTGTGGACAGACGAAGGTATCAGGGAATGGTGCCATTCCTCTCCAGACACTCCATGCAGTACTCCACACATGTTCAACCCCTTTTCAACCACCCCAATGTAGGGGAACACGTGTTTTGATAGGAAAAGACCAGTGAAAAGACGGGTGGGCCACCAACAGGTTCCAGGGGTATATAATGCCAGTCCCATGGAGTGTTTGCCATGGCTTTTCACCTTAGGATTGAGGGACCCCCGCAAAAGAATGTTCTTTTTTTTCCCTTTGATCCGTGATCGGTGGATTTGCATCAGTTTTGGGAGCCATAGCGATCATACCTGGCACCTGGTGGACCAATGGTTTTGAAGAGATCCATCGGTTTGGATGGGAAAACAGTGGTCGAGTCTTCGGGATCTTTGTTCGCTAGTATTGCAATTCAGTGTACGTCTGTCACAAGCTCAGACCTGAATGAACGATTTGGTCGCCGACTGTACACTGTACCTTTCAATGCGTTTCGAACCTAACCTGTGCATTCAGCAGCCATTGTTTGACTTGTGATTATATAACATGGACATGAACATCATGCAAGCTCAAAACAAGGTAAAAGCATGAACTTCAAGACAAACATGACCTATAGTAGCTTTGTTTGCTCGTGTTACATATGTTTCTATATTTCCCGATGGAATGGCATTTGTATGCGTAGAGCTCCAGATCAGAGCCTCCTAACGGGGGAGTTCCTGACGATCCTGACATCGCAAGCCTTGTTTTCACTAAGGTTTGCAAGCATCTTCAAGGATGAGATGCACTTGGAAAAGATGCCACTGGGATTTGGGGACTGTGTGTCAGTTGCTGAGCTTTGGAACTTACCTCCAGCCATGGTGTTGGTAAGTTCCAAGATGCAAACCATTCTTCAATCGTCCCAAGCTTGATGTTCTTTGGTTCATGGAGCAACCTAAGAAAAGAGATAGCTAGTCCAAAAAGTATGTGGCCCAAACCACACATCTTTGACCTATATGGGCTACTTCAAGTCCTACAAGCCCAAAGTGCTGGTAAGTCTTGTTCCCTGCAGATCTTGCAAATACTGCAATCGAGTGGAGCATACATGTTCGATGCTCAGAGAGTACTGGTAACTCCGCTCATGTCCAGCGGATTGTTATTTTTTTCGCCTCTGGGACTTTCTTTGTTGGGCATCCGGCATCCCCACAAAGGAAATCTTTGAAGTGCGAGCTTGATGGCTTTCTGTGGATTAGCTGGGGTAACCCTTCTTTATATAGTTGTCGTATGTTGTCGTTTGCAAAATAGATATAATATATATTGTAATATGATGAATGTAACCATTGTAAACCCTTCCCAGGTTTATTGGAGGGACTTCTGCAGATGAAAGTCTTGAGTCAGAACTCACCTACTGCTTGCGGCTGCCTTGATTTCCGTTGCCAACCAAACCAAGTGATAAACGGATTTAGACAGATCTACAAACTCAAACTCTGGGATGAGTCTAAGATCTACGAACTCAAACTCTGGGATGGTCTACTGTAAGACCGTGTTGGCCTCCCCTTCCTCCCCAAAAAACGACGCGGCGAAAGGGATTTTTACGAACGCTGAACTCAAACTCCCACTTTGGGAAGAGGTCTTCATTGGAATCATCCAGACAGAGCTTTTCGGGATCGATCTCAGGTCAACGCAGCAGCTGACGGCCTTGTCGCAAATGCTGGGCCTTCCTACGTGGGGACGCCCGTTCTCAGACGGATGAAGGGATGAAAGAAATGGACTCGAGTTGGTTCTTTTCCTGGTATGCCTATGATCTCAGAACATCTATAGGCAGCTGCAGCTTTGAAAGTAAAAGAGAAGGATAATAGCATGTGTTCGTCCTGATCTTGTGGGGTTCTCAAGTGTGCTTGAACTTGTATGTTCTGCTGTTTTTTGGCCCAGAGGACCAAGGAAGGTGAACAGAAGTGAAGAGAAGAGAAAAGAAACAGACCTAGAGTTATTTAGACTACTTTCAAATCAAACAACCACTCTCACTCACACTCACATTCACACTCACTCACATACACATACATACACACTCACTCACATTCGCACTCTCACTCCCACTCGCACTCGCAATCGCACTCACACTCACTCTCGCTCACTCACTCACTCCCTCACTCGCTCACTCCTGGCTAAGGGCACGAACAGCTTGCTTACCTCACAAATATCAAGATGGTCCACATGCAGTCGACTTCTAGACCAGTACCCGTGATGTCGTCGCTGCGAGTGGTGGTGGTCAGTGACACCCACAACAAGCACCATCGCCTCGAAGCGACCTGGCGGGGTGGGGCTCCGAACACCATAGAACACCCTGGGAGTGTTTTGCCTGGATTCCCATGGTCTTCCAACCACAGGTTTGGTTGGTTCCATGTTCCACTGGTTCAAGATCCAATATGTTCGAGTCTCCCAAAAAGCAGCAGCAAATTTGAAGGACGACCAATGCCTTGCGGCCCAGTGGTTTAATGGACGCGAGCCAGCGACTGAAGTTCTGAAATGGATCACATTGAAAGATAACTAGACTAGCTTCACCTTCACCGGCAAACAATAGTCTATTGTTGACCGGTCCTCTTTAGGGGGATTCTAGTCCAGTCATCTTTCAGTGTGGGAGAATGACCTTTCCGCGGCGAACTATAGACTAGTGATAGTGTTTTGCCGGTAAAGGTGAAGCAATGAGAAATCAGGGCCTTGATTTGTAAAAACTCATTTGAAGACCTCAAAGGGAGTTGCAGACGCCCATTGCCAGCTATGCCGAGCACCCCTCGCAACACTGGCCCTCACTGGCAGACTCCTTTTGCTGGAGGCTTTCACCCATGTCTAAGTAAATCGACTGTGTCAAAACCGGTACCATTTTGGCTTGATGTTGAATCTGAAGGAGGCAGACTGCTGAACTCCGCACCCGGGCATCTCACTTTCAACCAGGTTTGGGGAATTGGCGCTCTCACGGCCTCCTCAAGTTCACTCATACTCCCTCTACTCATGAGCTCATATATATATATATATATATATGTACTGATCACTGAGGTCCCCTCGGGCGATGTGTTGATCCATTGCGGAGACCTAACGAACCGCGGCTCTGCGCCGGAGCTCCAAGAGGTCAATGGCTGGTTGGAGGAGCGGTTCCCGTCGCGCCCGCGCGCGCGCCGGGGTGCAGGGCACGGGCGCGGAGCGCGAAGTTTTGTTCAATGAAACTCGGGGGCCCGAGGAGGATTAGATGTTGGAACGACAGGATGTTGTTGGAACGGCAGGATGGATGAAATGGTTTTGGCTTGCTTCATACACAACTTTTATCTATAAATCTATATGTGTAATTAACTATATAGTTTGATATGGTGGTTTTGATGGACAGCATTCCCTGAAGAGTGGCGTGGAAACCGTTTGCTGGACAGAGTTCAGTTATTTAGAAGTTATTAGAAGTGTAAGGCCTTCACCTTCACCAACCATCATCCACTGTTCCTGGGAATTGGATATGTCACACGGATATGTACCAAGTCATAGGTGACCTGGGTATGGGACCTTGGATCTGTCAAATACATCAGGAGCTTCCTCATCGCCACAAGCTGGTGATCTGTGGCAACATGGATCAACGCCTGGAGTCGCAAGCTAACAAGGCGGCCCGGGCCAAGTTCCTCCCGGCGGCCACTTGGCTTCAAGGAGAGCGGGACAGAGGAGCTCCAGGTGCTGAACAGTTGGTGGAACCACTCATTACCCGACCTCCCTTTTGGCTTTATTCTTGGATCCATTTGTTTGGCGCACGGCGTAAACTTCTGCAGCTATGACTAAATGGTACTAGCATGTCAAAAAAGGTCAAGGGTATGACTCTAGACCTCAGTTGCTCCAAAACTGATCTCACAGAACATGTAGTTATCGTTGGACGCTGCGTCAACCAAAAGTCCTACATGACCTATATAGGTTTTATTGTTCAATAATATAGTTATATTTCTACACATCATAAGATTGAAGTCATTGGAAACCCTTTGAAGAAACCATACGTAAAATGTACCTCATCATCACCCGCATGCAGTTCCTCTTTTGGTGGAGGACCGGTCGACCGGAGGCGACGTATTTGGAGGACGAAGCGCTGGAGGTGGAGGGGCTGAAGATCTACGCCTCGCCCTTCACGCCCAAGTTCTGTGGTGCCTTTCAGCCGCTGAACGCCAAGAGACCGAAGAGACCGATCGACCGGCCGTGACGGCGAGGTGGAATCGGGGCGCAATAGGGGAGGCAGAAGAGAGGTATACAGAGGTGTAACAGGAAGATAGGCCTTGGAGAGGTGGTTTTGGGAGACGAGGGGTGTTGCAGTTATTCTTGAAGATGTGTGTCCAGAGTCCAGACATAGATACAGTACGTAGTTTTTCTTGCGGATCTCAGGGAGTACGCGCACAAAACTATGTGCACGGTGCCATACATTTACCTCGAACCTGAGTGAGACCTTTGTGTCTTGAAGTACCGGCACCCAAACAGTGACAAGGGCCTTTCCCAAAAGTTATTCAATTAACTTGGTGTGTTCTGTAGAAATTTGGAACCACCCAGATGCTCCTGGACCCTCATATATGCAGGGGTCAGACCCTCATATGGAGGGGTCCTGTTCGCCTCAAATCCCTATGGTTTTGAGGGACCCAAGGGCTGTTTCGAGCGTTTGGGCACACCTTAAGTCCAAAGAGCTGCTTTTGTCAGAGCACCTCAGTGGCTGCTGCCAAGGCTGGAGAATGAGGCGGCCGCCGTGGCGAAGTGGTCGGAGATTCCGGACCAACTCGACGTGTTGGTCACCCATGGTCCGCCGTATGGGATTCTGGCCACTTGGAATGTTGAGAGGTGTGAGACACCCAAAAGGATGGTTCTGTTGTGTTTTTCTTCCTGCTGTCAGATATATAGTCTCTTGGGAAGAATATTGTGTTTTCTGCCTTGGATATAAAGCTTTAGTGTGTTGTGATACAGATACAGAACAGATTCATCAAGGACTTTTTAAACAGCAAAGTCTGGCTTGCCAAAGATGGGTACCAGGTTTTGCATGCAGGTTGGAGAGAAACCATTTTCGATATTGGGATTCCCTGTTCTCTTGAGGTACCTACATTGAGATGCAGTCTTCAATCTCACAATTAATAGTGAAACTTACCATCCTAAAGACAGAAGCCCTTCATGTGGGAGTGGTTCTCACCTGCATCCCCAGCTCCTGCCAACCCTGTCTCAATCCAGCATGAATTGCCCTTGGGGCCTAGGGGGTTCGATGTGCTTCGTGTTCTTAGCCGAGGTCCTTGTTCTTCGGGTCGGAGGGGCTGTCCGATACCGTGTGGCTGAGGATACCGTGAAGCGAGATATCCATGCCGGTTGCCCGGAACTTCTGAAGAGAGTGCAGCAGGTTGCACCGCAGTTCCACTTCTTTGGACACATTCATGAAGATGGTGGGAAGCAAGAGAACCTTGGATTGGCAGAGAAACACGGTCCGATAGTCTGTTTCAGAATGAACACACAAAAGAACGCCGATCTTTTGAAATAAAACCCAATAAAACTCATCAACAGTTGGGCTGGCATGAATCCACCTAGCTTAGTAGGCAGTGGCACAGTCTCAAGACACCACCAAGTGTTGTGCAATTGCCAGACAACGCTGTTTTCAAAAGCATGTGAGGCTTGGAACTTGCTCCGAAACCTGCTCTGGAACTTGCTCCGGAACCTCCCCTGGAACCTGCTTGCTCAGCTTGCTCTCCGATCTGCTCCGAAGTCTTTACATGTGGCTGAAGACCCCCTAGGCTTCGCTGTTGGGAAACGATGGGATTTGATCTCAGAAGGCAGGCACCACTGAGCAGCTTTGGATCTCTTTGAATCAGAGGTACAGTGGAGAAGGCCCCCTACTCTCATCGGATGCTGTCTGGAAAGCCTCACTGTCGCCGGCAGTTTCCAGAAACGACCTTCATCCATTCAATTTAGTGAAGAGACGGTTCTTTCATCCAGCCAAAACAAGCCTGCAAACAAACTGCCAAGACAATAAGGATGTCTCAAGAAGTTTGTTGTTGTTTGTGGTTTTCCTGAGCTAATGCGGTCAGACAGCTGATCGAAGGGCTCTCTCATGGCAGGTTCTAGATTCTAGGGTACGAGAGTTCTTCCCTGTTTCGGATGGAATCTCACTGTATGAATTCAAGATCCTTTAAGAGACCAAACAAATTCATACAGCCTTGCAGCCTTACAGCCTTGCGGATGGAATCTCATCCTGTTTATGAGACCAAACAAAACAGTAGAGGATGAGAACAGGCCTTGTAACTGGTCAAGACGTCATGCAGCCTTGAAACAGCAGGCCTGGTTTGGTTGAGACATGCGTTTCACCATGTTTCACTTCAGATCATTCGGCAGCTTACAGCTTCAAGCATAGTTGGCCTCATTTTGCCTCGGAGGGTGAGAGCTACGCTCCTTTGGGGAAAGGCAGGCCACAGAAGAAGTCAGATCTTGGGCTGGCCAGTGAAGTTTGTCTCGCCACGGAAAAGATGCAAGTGCCCCGTGCTGAGAACTAGCACTGGCAGACAATCACGCGATCTTGTAGTTGTGTTTTGTTTTGTCCGCATGACGGATGAAAAGACACACCCTCAGCACCATCGGGCCCGTAAACCCTGTTCAGTGGGCTGCCCTATCACATCACCGGGCGCCCTGGTTCTCTGGAGAGAAAAAAACACTCCGTCAAGGTCAACTCGAATCTCCGACTCTTGACTTTTCTTTGTGAGTGTTCTTTTTTTGATCGCCTTTCACTAGTCTCTTGCATTGTCAGAGTTGGGCTGTGTCCACCTAGACTTGAGGGTGGAGAATGTCAATGAAGATTCAGCACATGCATAGCCGCCTGAGCCAGCAACAAACAGCTTCTTCACTCAAGGATGTTAGGCTAAGCTATGACTAGAAAATCCTTGGTCATGGTTTGGATGTGGCTTTATCTTTTCCCCATGTTTGGGGGGGCGTAGAAGTAACATGAAGTAGCTATTCATACCTGATATATGCGCCTTCACTTCGCAAGTCGTGATGATGCCCTTCTGGACAAGTTCTCCTCACCAGTTGTGCTCTGATGGGCAGCCCGGAACCTTTGGACATTCAATGATTTACTGTCCTTAGGATAGGACCTTGACTCCCCGTACACGCAACCTAATGAAGCCAATTTCACCGAGCAAGACTTGGATTCGAGTTTGGAAGACATCCTTGAAATCCATTGAAATCCTCCATGAAACTGTAGGGTTGTGCGCTCCACATCGGTGACTTCCTTCCTTCCTTCCTTCCTTGGCCCGCGCCATTTGCTCCGTGCCCAGGACCCATGGGGAGACCACCTTTGTGAACGCTGCGCAGCACGTCATGGTCTTCGATGTGGTTCCGCGCCGCGTTCGATCCGCGCCATCGGAACCTCCGACCGGTCCAGCGGCCAAAGTGCCGAAGACCGCGTAGACGACCGCCGGTCTGCGGAGAGCGGGTCGTGGTGTGGTGTGGAGAGGACAAAAGCCTTGAGATGGGGGCAGGTGGGTGTGTCTTGTGGGTTGAGTAGGTTTTGGTTGGTGGAAAGGCTGCTTGTTTTGTTGCAAGAATCTGAAGAATGGATGTACCAGGAGTTTCCAGATCTATCATCAAGTCCCATCATCAGCAAGGGGCGCGCATGATTGAATTTTTGGAGCCACCCAGTACCCAGCGAAACGATCGAAACGCATCTCCGAAACGGCTGAGGTCCAGGACCTTTTGGCAAGGACACCTTGAAGTGCAGCTGAGACATCATATCACCAACCTTCGCCGGGAGGACACGGCGAAGACACTGAACTGGGGTGGATGGGCTTTTGTCAGGTGATTGGCTTCTAATCTGGGGTACACGGCGAACCTCAACTGGGATGGATTGGCTAATGAAATTGGTGTGGGGCCTATGATAAAAAGGCATCGTCTCCAGCCTATTTCAGTGTCCAACAAGGGTGTCCAATATGGTTCTTTTAGTGGTCGACAGCTTTGGGGCACACAGGGGTCTTTGGGACGAGAGAATGTCACGTCGAGTGTCCATTCAACCTCTGACCCGATGGACTGTGATTAACCGCTTTTTCTTCGAAGCTTTGTTGATGAGAGTGTATCTTTGATAAGGATAGTTTCAAGGTGTATAATGTGTTGCACACAAGATACATCGAAGGAAACAAACATAAGAGACAGTTAACTCACCTCTCAAAGATAACTTTGGCCTTTCAGGTCTAGATCGATCTAGATCCATCAAGTGAAACACCATTGGTGTTCTACCCACTGCCCGGTGTGACCCAAACATTGAAGATCCATACCTGCGGGTAAACTGGTTTGAACAAATGAGCGATACAATGACCAGAGATACAATGTCATGTCCTGCGAAGAAAGGCACAAAAACAAACTGCTGATAACGTCAAATGGAATGGTAGGCCATTGGAGTCCTGTAATATTTCGAGTGTATCTAAGTGATTCTAGGTGTGCATGTTGCTGATAAAGAATAAATTGCATTAGATCAGTTGAAACACAATCATGTTTTTTAGCTTGGCAGAAGCAACGTATCCAAAGGAGATAGATCCATGAACTAATACTGCTCCTACTGCTGCTGCTGGGGTGCTGCAATGATGCAGTAATCATGATAGCAGCTCTTCGCTGGTCTCAACGAAGCCTCTCGGCTTCTCCCCATAAGATCTCAGCTCCAGCCCCCTCTCAGTTCCTGCACATCTCTTCTTCTGACCAAGCTCGCTCGGTCGGATCTGGGAGGATCGGGACCTCTTCTGGGAAGGCATTGAAGGATTGAAGGGCGAGGAACTGATCGACGTCTGTGGCTCGATTGAAGGGCATGGATTTATGTTCCGGACGAATCCGGACGACCGACGCGGTGGAAGTTGGCCCGCGGCAGGGAAGAAAGTGGGCCCGGAGGTTTTGGTTTTTTTTTGGGAGGCATGGTGTTGCATGGTTGTTGAATTGACGTACTGTCACATGAAACATGCAATTGGACAGTTTCTGGTGAATAGTTGAAACATGTTGAAACAAAGTCCGGTGAAACCTTCAATTCCAAGATGCATTCTTTAGAGGTTCACCACTGGGATTCCTGCACCTGCACCAGTCGCGACACGCCCTTTCAGATTCTGTGGGTGAGCAGCTCATGTGTTCAGGGCAACTCACCGGATCGAACTTCAGGGCAGCTGGCCTGATAAATGGTGCATCATGTGAGAATCATGTGAACATGCCTGAATGTTCCAACGGATGCAAGAATTTCTGCTGAGCTGGGGCCCTGGGGCTGGTGTTGATGGATGGAAAGATGAAAACACCCCAAATGTTGCACAGGTGGAAGGTATTTTCACCCCAGGACCTTTGGTCCGTGGGTTTCGTGGCGCCGTGCCTCCCCAGGTCGACGCCGTGCCATCCGATTTCATGGCGTGCGGGACCCGGGGCGGGAACGCCGTTCGGCCAGGTGGGGCGTCCAGGGGAAGCCTGGCTGGGTGCGTTTTTCGCCGCTCTCCAGGGCGTTTGGGGGCTTGCCTGGGGAAGCCTGGACGTCCAGTCCGATCAGCCTTTGTTCCATATGATTCACACTGGATCTTAAGGATACCCCTTCCTACCGTCTAACTAAGATTAACTTGGTCAGGGAAACCAGTGGATCACACTTGTCCAACCATCCCATCACAATCACAGAAACCCCAGGCACGTCTGGCAGTACTGTGGAAAAGGCACTCCTGGAATCTTCTGGTCCATGGTAAGTGTTGGGTGTTGTTACCAAAGAGGATCTGAGCCGTTGTTGAAGAATTCTGGCACTAGGTTATTAGGATTCATTTGGTTATTAGATGATTCATAGTTTTCCCCGAATCCAATTTCCACAGTGTAGTGTATACCAATGTATACCAGGGGGACTTTTGCTTACGCGTTGTGCTCCATGACATACATGTCTCCAGGCCGAGTCTTTGGAAGGATTTTTCACTTGCGATGGACCTCCCTCACGAAACAATCGCACTAGGCTTTGCTGATCAAGAAATACAATTGCCCCTTTTTTTTTGCAGGTGATTCCCTCAATGTTGAACCTATCCTCTTCCAACAGGTGGTTCTTGGACACCCCGAATCACCCCTTAAGAGGCTATTTATAGACACCTTTGGGATGGTCCTGGTATATTCCTGGTATATACAAATATAGAACCCATATAGAACCCATATGACCTCTGTTTTGATAGGAAAAGGCCGTGACCATTGACTCCAAAACAGGGGTCACTTTGGTTCGATCCGTATATATTCCGATCGAACATCACCGGTCAAAACCACGGGTGACTATGCAAGACATCGAGGTCACGGAGGAGGAGATGCGCGAAAGCTTGAACCGCTGGTCGCTTGGGCAATGCACTGAAGACAAAAACTTCTTCAATGTGGCCTGCTTTGGGCCTATTAGAAGTATATAGAAGTGACCTCAAGAGCGTCCTATTATAAGTGACCTCAAAGTAGAATATCAAGCTTTGGTCACGTACTGAAGAACATCTGAAGAACCTGGTTGTTCGATGCACAAAACATAGACCTCCTCGGTGATGCTCAAGAGGGCCCAATGACGGGGCACAACAACGGCTCGGAGCTCCAACTCGGACGCTGGTAGGCCCAACGTGTGAGGCTGAAATGGGGGTTCGGAAGACCCCCCACAAGGGGTTTTGGATGGATGTTCCTTGCAGTAAAGACATAAATTAAACTGGAAGGTCTTCCTGGTCTCCATACACCTGGGTGATGGTTCCAGATATGTTTATGTTCAACCTTTACTTGGGATGATTGAACCTCCAGTGATTCAGATTATTGTTTGCGAGTTGAAACCGGCAACGGGTCATCTGTGCTGGGTCATGGCAGCTTCCCACCACCGATCACCAGGCCATGGGTTCGCATCGATTACGGACCTGTCACCCCCAGCTCCATCGACAGGATCCCAGCTATGGTTGAAAGGGAATCTAGAGGACAACCAACATGGTTTTGGGATGCTTTGGGGCTGAAAAGCATGGGTGTCCTAGTAGATGTTCCCTTAAATTCCCTTAAACTTACACAAATCTATACAATATTCAATAATCCTTTCACTGGAGGACTGGGGGTCTTCGCACCTGGGGGGGAGACCCTCGCTGAGGTTGAGGCTCTCTGCCAATCATCGACAGATCCCCACCTCCATGCTCCTCTGGGTCCAGTCCTTCTACCTGAGGCCGAGGGGATTTCGGGTGATCAGAAGCTTCCGTCTTGGTCCGTTGGAGGTGTCCTCAGCCCAAGACAGACACCTATGGAAGCTCCAAAGCATGGCAAACGGTAAGATATCATATTTTCGCTATGTCAGATGTTTTAATACCTCGACCATACCTCAACCTTATAAGGCTAAAGGTATCATTGAGAGACCACAATTCTTTGAGAAGGTGCATCCTGTTTTTTTTCCTCAGTATAGAACAGATCCCAACAGGTGAGGAATTTTTCCTCGTTGTTCATCGATCCATCCGAACAGGTCCATCCAAAGCCGATTTCTCACGCAAGCCGATGTGCATTTGGAAGTCTAAACCACATCTCGGTGGACCACTTCATCTCGGGTTTGATGTTCAATAGGATCCAAGGAGATCATGGAATTTTCCTGGCCCTGTCGAAGTCAACATGGATTCCAATTAATGAACATCTGCGCACATTTTTGAGTCGACAGCCTGTTCTTTGTGCATCTTGGGTGGCTCAGACTTTTTGTATATTGCAAGAAGACAACAGAACAACATTGATCAAGGGTCATGAACCAACTCTGCCAACCGGGAGATCATGGTATGCTTGCACCAAAGGAAATCATCATGAAGATCTCCAGGTCGAAGAGTCATCGCAAAAGTCCCAGGAATAGACTCATGAATGGAGACCTCTTGTTGGTACTCCATGCTCGAAACTTCCTCAAGGTGAAGCATGCTGACATATTCCCAGGCAGTTTTCAAACATTGGACAACAAGTACCGGCATCGAACAGATACTCATCCATAGCCCACCCTCGCCTCCCCAGTCGCTGCCGGCATCGTCCACCTCCCAGCGCCGCTTCGCTTCGTTCGTTGCCACCCCCTGCGACCGATCGAACCAGTCGACAATCGGAGCGAACAGCCAGGGATCGCACGGAGGACGAACATGAGCATTCCACTCGTACGGAAGACCTGAAGCTGAAGATGAAGGACGAGCTGACGTCTACTGGGTTGGTTCGATGTCTACTGGGTCTGGGCGACCACCACAGTGATGAGCGGGTTCAGTGGAAAGCTTCAGCTGGAGTGCTGGAAGTGTTTCACATGCGGTCGCCCAGGCGACCCGGGTCGTTTTTGGAGCGGAAAGTGCAATTAGCTTGTTGGAGTGCCGTTGGACACCTAGAAGTAGATGAAGCACAATTTCAACCTGTTGAACTACAGGAGATTCTCGATCTATACATTGGATCATCTTGGTTGATCGGATTCTCATGGCTGTGGACCCCTTCCCCCCCGTTGTTTGAGGATAGTTGTTAACTCTGGCCACCAATGAGCCAGATTCAGAAACTGACCGTAGAACTTTAGAGAAGATGACCGACTCCCACAATGCCTTTGCTGCATGGCACCATGGCCTCACGGTCCAATCGGGCAACAGCCATCTCCTGATTGGTTGGACCCTGCACATCTGCATCCAATCGAAGATGAACAATGAGATCTTCCGACCCTGCTAGGGGGGTTTTCATCGGACAGGTCGCATAAATCCGGTCTTCAGGAGCAGGAGACGGTTGAGAACCCCGAAGATGCCTTCCTGAGCCTTGCGGAACGTCAGAAGGCACAGAACGTGCACAGCTTGAGTTTTGCTTTGCTAACACCAAATGGTGTAGGTTGTGTGATGGTATGCGGGGTATGCGCCTGTTTGTTTTCAAGAAGGGCAAGTAAGCAAGACCTTCTTTGGTGGGGGAGAGCTGGCAGCCAGATGTAAGAATTTGGATTTGCTGATTCCTGGTGTGAAATCTGGGATGTTGACTCTCCAATGACCGATGATCTTGATGTGGAGAACACGGCACGAGTTCTGTGGTTCAGATTGCGTTCGTAGTTTTTGGACTTTAGAAGTAAGAGTTTGCAGCTGGTGAGTTTGTTAACCCAGTTGCTGACAAGGATCTTCATACCATTGTAAAAGCCATCCTCTAGACTCTAAAGATTGGTATGGATGGCGTCCGTGCCATTTGTCCATTGCTTTATACTCGACCTGGGTGCCAAATAGTGCCAATGTGCTTGCCAGGCCACGGCCTGTTGATGGGTTGCTTGCCCGGGTGCAGGTTCTTAGGGAGTAACTTTTCCTGCAGCTAGCAGCTAAGCCTGGAGTGACTGGACTGCTGCCAGGATAAGTCGGTTGATGTTGAGATCCTCCTACCTGGATGTTTGCTCTTTTCTTGGCAGAAATAGGTCAATAGGTATTTTGATGTATTTTGTGATGTCGTCGAACACCAATTCCCCCAAACCCATATCCATACCACCTATATCCATCGCTATACTTATACTTTCCACCCTGTCCGCATATTTGTCCACCCATTCTCCATTCTCCTTCGACCGCACAGGAAGCGGTCGACAAGATGCAGCAGAAGTTGGAGGAGCTTCAACGTGAGATCGTGGAGGTCACTGAGCAACACCAGGCGCCGAACACGCACGGAGAAGCACGGAGTTTGCGCCTTCCGGCGTAGGGTCTTTAGTTTTGACATGCCTTTTGACTCAGAAGCGGACTGGGGGATCTTGGGACTGGGAGGAAGCAACCAAGCTGGTTTCAGTCTATTGTCTATTGTCTATTGTACCAAAGCAGTTGCCATGCGGGAATGGCCCCAGGAATAGCTTGAGACCCAACGTGATACTCACAGGAATATTGCCAAGGAAGATTTGCATGAACACAAGTTTGGGTACAGGAAATTGAATGGACTATATCGACATACTTAGACTATCTTTGACTATTCCAGTATAAGAATAACATTGAATGACATTGACTCTTGACTATTCCAGTATTTCATGGCACTTCATGTCCCTCCATTGAAAGCCTCAACAAGATTCCTCCAAAGCCACCGTGCTTTGCTTTGCTGCAGGACGTGCTGCAGGTCGCACCGTCGAACGACGCGACAGCGGCCGACGCGCCGGCGCCTCGCTGGCTTTCGGAGGCTCGGTGGAGCAAAAGAAGGGTGCATGTGCCGGGAAAAGACAGACTGTGAGGTCTTTCCAAGTGATATGTTGGGAAGTGTTGGGAATATTTCTGTTTGGGAAATTGTATAATCAATACTTGTCATCTTTGGAATAGTTATTGTTGAAATCCCAGGCTTTCCAAGTAGTGATGAATCAACAAAATAGCTAAATACTGTGGGTATTGATGGTATGTCATATGGACTGGGATTCCTTCACCACGAGTTCGGGTTTTGGGGTATACTTCCCTACGTCGATCCGACGCCCGCCTCGTAACCGCCGCGTAGCCGCCCGCCTTCCGCCTACCAGGCGTGCGCCAACTGTGGGCACGTGATGGCAGCAGACTCCGTGTTCTGTCGGAAGTGCGGCCACAAACGCGAACAGATGCGGCCACGCGCGGCGTAACCTTCATCCGCTGGTGTGTGTGTGTGTGTGTTTGTTGCCTCAGAGGATTCGATGGTGAAAGGTCCTTTAAGAGTCCATGTTGGAGCATGAATGGACATGGATAGACAATGCGAAAGCCCAGCAGAATATGCGAATCTCAGTGGACATCTGATGTCTCATGTATTTTTTGGATTGTTTCTTTGTCAATTTGCTACTGATTGGTATCTGACAACTTGAGCCTGCAAAAGTCAAGATGAAACGTGAGAATCGAAATATACATACAAAATACATACCGCCAGCAAGTTACAAAGACCTCCCCCCCACAAACCAGTATGTGAACGGTACCTTTTATCAGGCTCCGCCCTCCGCCAAGCCCATAAAATCAATTACTGTACATGTATTGGAACTTGTTCTTTGCAAAAACGAGTCAGGGCCGTCAGGGCATACATATATATAATATGTACAGATTGTCAACTTTCATGTTTAGCATGCCTAGCTCAGCTCAATGTTCTAAGCAGAAAACATGTCCAAAGTGCAATTCAAATCTGTCTCCCCTGATATGTCACATCCACATCCTGTGATGACGATCGTAAGGCCAGGTCCTGAAAAACAATGTTGGTCGGATTCATGTGATCGTGATTGGTACATACCTCCCAAACCATCCAGATGATATGACAGTATAGAGTTTGTTGGTGTTTTCAAATTTACAGTCCCAAGGTGCCCATAGATGGCCTTTTACGGCCTGGGTTGGTTAATTCAAAAGGGGGGATCCCCAAGTGGACAGCCAAGTTTGGTCTATGGCACCTGGTATCGACCCCTCTATTATTCCCAAGGTCGGACATCATTGGGTGCTCCTCCCAAGCACAGTAGAGTTTACTGGTGTTGTCATATCTACAGTCCTAAGGGGTTTTGAAGGCTCCTCCCCAGATCTCCTAAGAACTTGCCACATCCTGCGAGGCTGATCTTGACTACGACGACCCGGAAGGGGAAAAGAGGCGCCGAGAGGGAGAAGAGACAGGTCACGATGACCATCAACTGCGGAAGGGAAGAACGGAACGAGCCATCCAGCATGCGTTTGCCAGTTGTGTTTTGGCGTTTGTTGAAGAACATATAGCCAAGTGAGTGGGTATAGGGAGAACTGATCCTTCATAGACAAGCCATCCAGTTCTGTTGATGGATCTCTCATCTCTCCATGAGAATCTTTAGACCGACTGCATCCTCTAACTTGTGGAAGACCCATTCTTCTAGCAGCCGCTCAATTTGCAGGTAGCCCTGAAAAGGTCCTACTGATAAAACAGGTATAAACAGGACCCTTCTAGTGACCCTAATTATCTATATTATTTATACGATTTATATAACTATAAAGACTAGTAACGATGAGACTGCCGCAAGTCCACAGCTGTCAACGCAGCCAGTCCCAGACTCTCAATGGCCGAGGCGGATGTTGTACATCTTGCGGAAAGTAGAGGAGGACTCATTTTGCGAGGGTTCAACGAACCCTTACTCTCGGAGGGGAGCGGGGTCTCAGAACCGGGCGGGTTTGTGATCGTCCACCACTCACCCGTATCCACGATGAAGATTCCTTGGGTATCCTTGGGTCTGTCCGAATTACCTCTTATCACTACTTTTAGAGAAAGGCCTTCATTCATTTTTATTCACCATGTTACTGACAACATGGGGATTTCCTTCATCAAGGCATCAAGGAAGCTTGGTCTGCTTGGTGCCCACTTCCATGCAATGTGAGTGTACGTTCTTACATGTTCTTACGCAAGTTACAGGTATACCTCACAAGCCCCACAAGTCACAGCTGCGAATGGGATTCATAGCAACCAACCTCTTGGAGGAAAACGGAGTTGTCATCGTTCCCCAGTGAGAGTGCTAGAGGTGAGATAGTCCCCAGTTTGGTTGATTCTATCACTGCCAAACATGTTGAGCATACATATTGGCGACAGTTGCATACATGTTGCATGTGTTTGTTATTGCGAACCTTGTTATAGCCTGCTCAGCCCACTACAGACACCGCAATGGGGAGGACTTGGACCTCTACAAGCAAGTGGTCCAGAAGCAGCGCTCTCTTTTGGACGGTCAGCTGAGGCCGGGCTTCCGGTTCCTACAACTCCATCTATAACTGCCTTCTGACAAGTGGCAACCAATGAGTATTTGTCGGAAAATTGCCAGTCGTTAATGCAAATAACTGCCTGAGTCTATTTGGTCAACCAATTTGCTGCTGCCCCTCCCCATTCTGAAAGATTCCGACTCTTTTTTTGCTGCGAAGCAGCGCACCTGCTCCTCAGGTTTTTACTCGCCATGCGAGACACCACGCCGACGCAGTACAAGGTTGGGTAAGAGATTTCCACTTTTGACAGGAAAACATTCATGCAGATTCAGATGAAAGCTTGCTGAACTGGTCATGCGCTTCTTGAACTGAGTATCGTGGCCAGACTTCCACATCGCGGCCAGGATGCCGATGTGATCCTATTGGATCAACGCGTGAGGCTTTTGGAGACTTGACTGGTTCTCCGTGGGCTTGGCATCCAAAACAAATGGACCTATATGAACACCAAGGCTAAGGGGTCTTGAATTCTTGTGAAAGGTCTTTTGTACACTTGTCAAGATCAGTGTTTTGATGTTTTGTTTGAGATGTGTTGAGTTACAGTTTTTGTTTTTTGTGAAATCATGACACTACAGGTCTCCAGCATAGACAGGGAACACAGACTTTCGATCTCGACACTTTCAACTGGAACGGGAAGGCGTGCCCATGTATGCAAGGAACCCAAAGGGTTAGTTCATCCTCACAAGCCAGGTCTAATTGGGATTTCTTGAAAAAGTGTTTTGTACATATATATATCAAGATGGGGTGATTGTTTCAGATGAAGGTAGCCAATACAAAGCCTTTTCGGTGCAGTGTTGGTAAAGGTTTCGATGTTATTTTCAAAGGATTTATGTTGAACACAGAGTTTGGATCAAAAGCAGTCCAGCGCTTCAAGAGAGTTTGCTCAATATTGTGATCAGGTGGGACAGAAGCAAGGGGGAAAATGTCCAGAGCTTTCAAAAAAAGGCTTGGGCAAGTTCCTCAAAGACTTGTGAATTTAATAGTTCAGCACCTGGCTTTTGCCGTTAGGGCACACGTATGCCAAAGCCTAGATAGACTGCAAAGTGAGATGTATATCTGGCGCGAGGTGAAAAGGTGATGTTGACCGGATCCTTTCAGGTTTACTTGTTTCTCTATTCCCTAGGGCTCCTGGCCCACCTCCTAAGGTTCGGTGGTTGGGGTGGGTTTTGGGGGGTCGAACCACCTTCTGAGGATATGGGCCAGGAGCCCTAGGGATTGTTCATGTTATGCCCACAAGCGGAGTGTCCCTAGCTACCCTAGCCTGTGGATGTCTTGCATTTGTCGCTCGCCGGGGCCCTAAGGAGATGATCAGCTCCTTCCAGCAAAATGCCGAGGATCGGGCAGACCATGACGAGGGATTTGCTCTGCGGTGCCGTTTTTATGCCGCGTTTTCATGTTCGTCCATACCATGACGATTGATAGACCTTTAGTGGTCGAGTCCCTTCCACTTGGCCATCTATGAGTTCCTTGAGGCCGTCATGTTTGCACCACAGGTCCTTTGAGTCCACAAGCCCGGAGTCTTCACAAGATTTGAATTTGAATCTTCACATTTCACCCTCTTCACCGGGCTTTTTGACCCGAATTCCACGGCAAGTCCAGGGCTTTGGAGAGCCTCGCATGAATGTTCACATGTCGGAAACGACTCATGGAGGTACTTGACTCATGTCCTGGATAACCCCTCAAGGCAGGTCAATGGACCTGGTTGTTCTGTACGCCTCGAAGATTTGCCGACTCGGTGGCCATATGATTGTGTTCTTTTTTGCAAGTTACATGTTACAATACAATACACAGGTACATACAACATTGTTACATACAATATATTACATTGTTACATACAACAGTCTTGGAAATTGTTGTGGTAGAGGAGCTTCTTGTGGAGTCGAGCGCACAGAGCTGCTGTTCCCCCAAGAGCTGGTGGGGACAACCCGAGGTTTTGAGCGCCAGCAAAACGTTTAAACCATTTAATTTGGCAACACAATCCTACACATGCCACAAACAATCGGTAGTTATAGAGTAGAAAAGATCTTCGTTGCCTGCCAGTTGCCACCAAGCTTGTTGTGGCTAGTTCTTACTGGACTGGATATTTAGGCCAGGCGGCCAGGCATAGGTTACTGCACCCCCAAAGAAAGTTAGGTGCCTGGAAGTTGATGTTTGAACATGAATGTGATCATGTATTTCACCAAGCCTTCCTGATCGAGTCCGATTCATGTTTGAACATCCACTCGCAGCAACTTGGTTTGGCATTGTCCGCGCATTCCAGCACTCAGGAGATCGATCAGCTCTTCAACGACACAATCTCCAAGGAGCTTCGCATTGTGCATCACCTGCCACCGAAAGCGAAACATGATGTGTAAAGGCTGTTTGCTTGGCGCGATTGATGTGATTTTGCAGGCCTGGTCACTCGAAAAGAGTATGGCCGAGCCGAGAAGTTCACAAAACCCAATTAATGTTTGACCTGCTGAGTATGAATTGAACTGCTGAGTATGGCTGCTCTTACCCGATCATTGGTTGAAACATGTGGCAAGACTAGACAGACCGGAGCTGCTGCTCACTTCATTCTTGATATCTTTTCAGTGCTCAAGAGATTGCACAAGACGCTGGGCTTCGACCGAAGTTCTAGAATGTGGCAGATGATGACGGTGCCCAGGCTTTTGGTATGATCTTTTTGTGGTACAGTGCATGCTATATATGGGCAGTCCCTCAACCTCCAGGGCGATAATTGTGTTGAGCCTAAGAACGCATATGATAGATTTGTGACTCATGCCGTGTTGACTTGGAGCGCATTATATACAGTACACATAATATACACTGTCCATTTGGGGCGCTGGGGTTGCCCAGAAGCTCACCCCAAGGCACCAAACTGCAAACTGGTGATGCATATTTTTGTTAGGCCTTTGAGCATGTTTACACAAATCCCTTTGGGGCGTGAGATGCATGAGACATTTGCAGCGCTCAGGTGCAGAAGCAAGCGGAGAAGGCAGTGGAAAGTGTGTTGCTTTTTGGGACTGGTACCTTGAGGTCATAATTCGATGATGGTGTCAGTGTAGGTCCATTCCTATTCTTCTGAACTGAAAAATGCGTTGAGCACCTTTGAGTGGTGGGCACACCCGTTGAAGGAGACTCAGACGCAAGCTGAGGGGAGATCTCCCGATCTGCCGCCAGAACATCCCTTGCGGCATTTGGACAAGTCGAAAGAGAATGGGGAGGCATGGTTCAATCAGTCTTTTGACTCTGATGCATGCCTCGTCATGGATGACAGGAGCTTGTTCATTCACAAGGCATATGTGATGGAGAAGAGTGGATTCTTTGAGAGGCTTTTTGGGGATGATATGGCAGGGACCAGTGCAGACTACATGCTGCCATTACCCAAAGTCCTTCGGTACCAGTATGTCATGAAGATCATCCAATGGATGTACACTGGTGACACCCAAGATCACGGCATCACAGAACAAAATTGCATCAGCATGATTCGTGAGGCAAAGTACTTCTTAATGACGGATGAGTTCGTCATGATACTTTGCCATGTCTTCGTTGATGCTTACAAGTCGGAGCCTGCGGAAGGAAAAGAGAAGCTGGCCATGACTTTGTTGGACCAGGCATCAGACACAACACTTGAAGAGCTCTTGACACTGTTGGATGATTGTGGCATCTGCAAGGATTTGCGCTTAAAGATTCTGGCAACATGGGCTAACAAGTATTCGTTGTCACAGAGTGGAGATCAGCAAGGCCTTTTCCGTTCGCAATTGTCCGAGCTCCTCCAGACATGCACAATTCAGGGTCTCAGGCAGCTACGAACTCAATATCCTGAAACATTTCAGTACCTTCCGGCGGCTGAGCTCTATGATGTCATCAACTGCGACTTTAGGCAAAAGTGCCAGTGCTGCGGGAGATTGTTTCGGACCTTGGAGGAGTCGAGGACACGATGCACTGTTTATTCCCACAATTTAAGTTATGTCAGTGTCACTGAGGGTCCATTGGTTCCATGACATGTTTGAGTCACGCGTTGCGCTCCAACTATGCCAACATCATTTCTGAATCGCATATAATTGGTTTAATATCTGGGCACTTGCCAGTGGTGAGCTGATTGATTGCGAATGCAAAGGCTAGATTCCGCTTGATTTCTTGCGGAGGCATGCAGAATTGCCAAAAGAGCAATCCTTGCGCAAATATTGCATGGCTCGGCTTAACAATGCGATATGCAGGTTAAAAGGAACTGCTTGCTCACCATCACTCCACAACATCCTGTTCGTAAGATGAGAATGAGAAAAACACACTCGGGATCAAGCACCTGACTGTGCATGCTTTTGCGCTGTCGGGTGGAGGCACCGACCGAAGCATGCTGAAGCTGAATCCTCTGCTCTTGTACCTGTTTTGTCCGGATCTAATTCGGACCAGGTGACTGCTAACTGTCAGGAACTAACTTGTTGGGTGTGCAGCGTTGGCCTCCCCTTTTCTGTGCGGTGCCATAGGATCCTGGACGGTAGTAGCCGGACTCCACACCCGGCGTGTTTGTCATGAGAAGGGGAGCCGCCGCACTTCCTAAAGTGTTTGAACAACCGAGCTATGTTCACAACGAGGACAAGCGGTTGGGATTGCCCCTGGCAGGACGGAGAGACAGTGGTGTCTTCGAGCGTTTGGGATGATTATGATGACGTACCAGGCAAAGGAATATCAGGGCAGCGAGCGGCATTGGCTGTTTGCATTGGGTAAGAACGGAATGGTTTCCACCGATTTCAAAGGTTTCTGCAGATTCGGACCAGACTTCAAAAGCGATACATGGTAGTTATACAGGTGTATTGTTTAGGTTGATTGGGTCACAAAAGAAGGAGGGCACGGGGAATACTGAAACAACATCAAACAACCGATTTCCACATGAACGGAGGACTTGTTGCACCGATAAGGGATCCTTAGACTCGTTCGTGGTGTAAGCCTGTTTCTTTCCCTCGCATGGAAACTGAATTGGACCCTTTGTAGAGAATCTATGCTTTTCCACGGGCCCATTGGGATCATTTTTGCGGAGCCATTGAGAATGTGAGAGCATGTTCTTGTTCTTCTCCCAAGACATGGTGAGTGCTTTTAGGCAAACCTGTGGGGAATTCAAGGCGCAACTGTGAGCAGCAGTTGTTCTGGGCCTACCATACCGTACCATTGAGATCGTCCTGTGACAGATCCTGACAGGTGAGTGAGCAATATGCAAAGCAAACAATTGTCGCCGTCATGATAATCCTCATCATCATCATCAGCAGCAGCAGCAGCGGCAGCAACAGCATCATTCGTCATTTGATATCATTTGTCATGTGTCATTCATCATCACCATTTAGAGCTTGGCTGACACCACCAAAACCACCGCTAGCACCATCTCCACCACTTACACCCCCAAAACCACCGCTCGCACCATCTCCACCAGATGCTATGTCGGAGGAATACTAGGGGTGGGCCGGGCGCTGGGATGCATTTGGAATTTTCAACATTGTTTGAGAAGTTATTATGTTCTGTTTGGTTTGCCGCCTTGACACCTTGCCCTGTGTGTCAAACGGAGCTTCCGGTTTGGATCGTAGGCGAGGGACGACAAAAGCAAGAGAGGCAGGGCGGAGGTCGGGAAATGTCAGTGGTGCTTAAAGACATGGGGGGACTCCCAGAATCGCAATGATGGGCAAACCATGTCGGGCAGCCCTGCTTGTGTTCATCCTCCTTGGCTATCAATCCCCGATCATTGATCTAGGATACTAGGATCATCTAGGGTCTGGACAACTCAAGACTCAAGTCTGCCAAGTGTGCATGCCAGAGTTGAGTTTGTTTGCATATAGGAGCATGCAGAACTCAACTCATTTGCTTTGCAGTTTGACTACCTCATCCACTCCGGACACCAGACGGCATATTGGGCTTTGGGCATCCACCCAGAGTGTTTGTTTTTGCTTGTTTGTTGGCAATATGTTAAAGTTTTTTCTCTCCTCAAAAGCACTTCAGAATTGAATGATCAGTTGCAACATGCTTTTCAGCACCGCCCAAGCACGCCTGTTCTACTGTAAGAGACACTTACTTGACGGTCTCCAATTCTTGGCTTGCAGCGCAGGCCATCTAGCGCAGCTCCTTGAGGGGACCAGATGCGAAGCGCGAAGGTAGGTGCCAAGTTTGGATCATTCAGATAGGCAGTCAGACCGTTTGACAAGCAGTTTTCGTTATGTTTTGCCATGTTGCTTAGAGTTTGTGTATCGTTTCTAGATTCTAGGCTTGGGTCGCAGATTCCTTCACTGATTGTTTCATTGCTTCAATCGATTTGTGTCTACATATGGCTGGGCAGAGGAAATCGAGACCTTAAAGCTCCGATGTTTGCTGTTCTTTTTAGGAAATTCACCCAAAGGCAGGCAGCATTTCACTGCCCGACCCTCGTCTTCACGATGGGCTTGTAGACCCGTTTCAAGCCATTTGAGACTGTTAGATGCCTCGTCTTGGGTTGAAACCACTGAACGTTAAATGCTTTTTTGGAGGATCTAAGGACACTCCAGAATGTGTTTGTTTTTTTCTTTGACGCTTATTATAGAGGGGCACTTGCAGAATGCGCCCATTGAGTCAAATTGATTGATCAACTTCTTGCCCAGACATTTCAACATTTGACTCGTGTGGTAGGTATTCTGGCTCTAGTTTTAATCCTTAATGCGCCTAGGTGAGAACTTGTCCTTTTACAATTCCACCTTCAAAACCCTTGGTTCGGAGTGCGGGCTAGATCGTGGAACGTCACTTGCCGGAAATCTGTTGGGTCAAAGCCTTTTGATCGGAGTATTTAAGGCACAGATTTTCTTGTTTTGCCCTGTGTGGACAGTACCGGGTGCATGATCCAGAGCAGACTGGGCAAAACTGTCCCAATGCAAGGTGGTGGCAGGTGTGGCAGCTCAACATGTGCTTGGAAAGGATACTATTTGACATACTTGTGATGTTAATGAAGTCAGTGCCCAGAATAGGGAATTCAAGTTGTACCAGGTTCAACATTTTCCTGGACTCCGTTTGGTCATATTTCTTTCAGGTCTCTCACCAAGCATTGTGGAGAGTGAACCATAGATCAATATGTTCATGGTGACGACGGTCAAACTGGTAATAATGTTGCTTGTGTCGCGTTCCCGGTGTACATGTGATAACTTGGTGATATGTTGTGCATGTAGTTTTTGTAAACGTCATTGTCCTTCACAACTAGCAAGAACCCTTCCAAATCTTGAACACTGCCGCAGCTGACTGCCTGCCGCAGTCTGCCAGCCGCAGTACAGGCCCCAAATATAGGGCGTTCATGTTCAGGCGGTGCTCCGTTCGGCGTCCACGCACGGAGCAGCCCACTGCACAGACTCGATTGCTTTGGTGTGAATACCACTGGAGCATGAAAAGACATCCAAAGGCTCAGACAGGACCCAACCCCTACGCTAGGGCCGCTAGGGTTTGACCCTCAGTTCTTTTGTCGGGCAACTTGGACCGCAGAACACACATTGTCGGAGCTTGGTTTGGGTTGGTTCGGGTCGCCAAAGGTTGCACAAGAATTGATCTCTTCGAAGAGAAAACAAAGTCTGACGATGTGTGACTCTGGGTTACTTATCTTCAGACTATGGAAGGGTGCCCTGGAAAATTGATGGACTGGTGCCCGGACATTGCTCACAAAACCATGCACCTTCCACACTGTGATAGCGGGGCTGTTTGTTTTGGTTTGTGCTTGGTGATTTATCTCTCATCCCTTATACATAGATTCAACAAGGGCTGGTTTGTTGTTCAGCTTCCATGTTTGAGGAAGTCTAGTTTGTTGTTATGTGATTGGTTTCACGACCTGACTGCTCAGCAGAGTGTCACGTGTCTGTCACGCCCCTCAAACTGGAGCAGTTTGGGAACATTTAGCTTCCTCACATCATCAGGTACGGCGAGGAAGCTCGTGTCATGGAGGTTGGACTGGGCGCACCAGATCAACATTGCGCCATGAATCGGTTGGGGTTGCATCTGTCAAGAATCTACTTCGGAGTCTGAAAACAATAGGTTTCTAATTATATAACAAAAGTAGCCACCACATGAATTGTGATGTAAGTGTGTATGTCAATGTTGGGGTGTATTTAGTGCGGCACTCTCTTTGAACATATATCTAAAGGCCGTTCTTTTGCTTCAATGTGCATGCATCAGATGTATCACAAGCAGGACACTTGGTGAACCTTTCTGACTGTACAGCTAACAAGAGCTCAAGGACAATATTTGTTCGTATCTATTGGATTCACCGCTTCACCTGTGTAGCGACTCAAGGCTACTTTTGTGCAGACTGACCAATCCACTGTCAGATCCCGGGCTTGATCGACTACTCTGGGGGGTCCTGTGGGATTGGTCGACAGCCCGTGTTTCAGCAGCCCGACTCGACCAGCCAACTTCCGGTCCCGAACCGATCGGCACTCCGATCGGCATTGCTGGCCTTTGACCCGAGGAATTGGGTCCAACCCCTGCATAGGTTCGGGTCCAGACTTCGCATTTGGGCTGGTCTTCCTGGTTCCATACGATTTCCATAGGGTTCCTGGGATTGGTCAGACTCGGATTGGTCATCCTCGTCGTCGTAGTCCTGTCTTTTAGTATTTTGGTGTTTTGTGGTTCCGTTCACTTTTCAGGAAGTACTCCTAAGTTGTTGCGACCCACGAGGGCCAGTACAAACCATCTAGAACCAGTAGAAAAAACAACATGAATGGGTCAATCCTTCGGAAGCTGTAAAACTAATTGGTAAAATAGCATGTCAAAATGACACTTCTATAAGAGTTTGAGCTCCAAAAACCATCGATTTGTTCGTTTTTGTTTGCACCCGCCAGATGTTCGCGCAGCTGGACATCCGAGGGCGAGGCGCGGAGGACATAGCCTGGACAGGTGCTGAACAGAGTTCCACAGGACTTTGTCTAAGAACACATGTAAGTGTATATGTATGTAACAATCATCATCAAAGAACACATTTTTTGTCCGGGTCGTTTTAGGATTTCTCTCTAGACATCATGAGAAGGCGTTGTTTCCATTTGAGCAAACTGCTTGGATGAAAAATGTGAAAGCCATAGTTTGTCGTTCACATTTTGAGAACTCCAACCAAAGGTGTCTATTTCACTGTGCAACATGTCTTCCGTGACATTTTTTGGCTTCTCAGGGCTGCAGTATGCTGCGCGAACTGATCCACTACAACATTTCAACTGTCCCTTGCCACAGTCCCGTGTGTTGTCTTTTTTAACCATTCACCAGCTCAATGGGTGTTCTTCATTCAGAGGGCTCGGAAAAAGAGACTAGGGAGGGGTCGGAGCGTCGGGGCATCAATGACTTGGAGTCGTATGGTTGCCAGCTGATTTTGCTGCTGGGCCCTGTTTGTTTGTGAGCAGAAGTGACTTCTTTTGCTTTGGAACCATTAAACCGTTTAGCTTCGAAGCAGGTGGAAGCCGTCTACATAGCCTTGAATGCCCAAACATCCGTAAGAGGTTGGTTGATGGCGTGGTTGAGACTACCAGGGATGTGATGGTTGAGGGTTCTGGTAGTTGACGTACATCCATTTTGTTCAAGACATGCACAGCCTCACAGATTAAGCTCTTGTGCAGTTTCTATGTAAAAATCACATGACGACAAAAAGATACCTTTGGAGCACGCCCGACTACCTGCGGTTGCAGGTGCCATCGGTGCAGAAGATATTCAGAAAGTGCTGAGCAACTCTGTACAGAGAAAGGACGCGGTGTCTGGTCTCCGTCGTGTCGCGAGTGGGAAGGTTTCACTGCATGGGGAAAGAACGTAACGACACTGTGCCTGCTCAGGTAGGGACGGTTACCAATATTTACCAATGTTTCCATTGTTCTGAAATATGATATGTGAGTGAATGCTTCTGTGCTACTGGAAATGGTGGAACCTTTCTCCTCGGTCTTGGTGAAGCACACAGTTCCAATACCCGCAACAGTTGTTTTTTATTTGACAGAACTTAAGAAACACATACCCATGCTGGCTGATCCAATCAGTCTTTCGCAGGCTTCTCAGATGGTGTTAACGTTTGTATTTTGTGAGATCATGGGACCACATCCTCCCTTTTGCTGTGGACAGTCTTGACGATGTTTCTCAACTCTGGGCCATGGATCCAGCAATGGCCTACTGACGCTACTGAGTCTGTCAAAGAAAGGGGGGTTAGTTGGGTTGATGCCATCATTTGGAGACAAAACCAAATGGAATTTCACAAGAGAACGATAGCGAAGCCTACTTAGCGACTGAGAAATGCATCCCACTTTGAACAGAAATAGCTTGCGGCAGAAGCAGGAGAACAGCTTGCGGCGCTTTAGCGACATGGTGGGGATCCTTAGACCACTGAACTGAAGTGATCATTTTGGGCTGGACTGGTCGAGGTGAAACGTTGGGTTGTCTACTTGGAGCCCAAAAGTGGTGCTGATTTGATGCCATTGGATGCCATTGGATGTTGGTCCAAGTTCTTTTCTGCAAAGATGTTCAACAGATTCGTGGGAAATCAGATGGTCCAGATTGGGTGCAGCTTGGTGGAAATCCCCTTTCTCCCCCAACAACTCAACGTAAGTTCTTGGTGGATGTCCCGCAGAGCCGCCGCTTTTGTGATCAAGAGAAAGCAAATTTAATATCTACCAGCACCCTCAAAGGGGTCACCAATGGAAGCCCCTACACTACTTATATAGGGATCTCCATTAAACACCCCTTTGAAGTTCCAGGTAATATTTGATAATTAATGAATCTGCAGATATCCCAAGATGAAGGGCCAACTAGAATTAGACCGCAGTGAAGGATCACTGCAGCAGAGATGGAACATTTGGGGATGTTTAATCCATACAATCGGTGTGAAAGAGGATCAACCTACTTCCCCATTGGTTTCCCAGTGAAATTCCGGGGTTCCCCACTCTGGACAGTTGGCCATTCGGCCTGTGTAGTAGGTCCACTCCGAGATGTTCTTGTGTTTGGAAAGGGCTCTTAGGGTGTGCTCAGCATCAATGCCCCCCTCAGGATCTATGTACAAAGCCTAATCTCACATGGCAGTCGTCCTGAAAAACAGAACAACAACAACCTAAAGGGCGGCACACCTTGTGCTGTGTTCCATCAGGGATTATGTAAAAGGCCTTAATGAAGGCCCCTCTACGCAAAATGGGGATGTCTATCAAGCCTTTGCGTACCC